AAAAAGTATACTAAAATGTTTTTCAAAAGGCTAGCTGAACATATTTTCAAATCAATCTTTGTAAATTCACAAAGATATTATTCTTAGTTATTGTATTTTATTGAAGCTAGTTTTTATTAACAGAAAAGTGAACTTAAATTTATTAATAATTCAGATAAGCAAATAAATAAATAATTAGTAACTAGTTGAACAAACATTATATGTTGATAATCTTTTATAATTTTATTCATTTAACAATTAAATACTTAATAGTTAAAGTATTGATTTTTATAATCCAAAATTGAAAATTGACTTTTAGTTCAAAACTTTCAAAATTTTTAATGAATTGAGTAGATTTATAAATTTATTTTGTGTTTATTTAAACCAACTTATGTAGGTTCTAAGTTTAACACGGTTACCATTATGACTTATAATTGATGAAACTAAATATATTGTATATATTATTGAATAAAATGTACTGTTTTTTAAAAAAAAATTATTTAAAGATCGATCATTAGATTGGTTCTATAAAACAATTAAAAATATATAAATTTAGTTAATTTAATAAATAATGTTATAATTTAATTTCATAACTTTGAAGTACTAAATGTATCTTTCCAGATCCTTGGCAGAGTTAGTAGTTTTTATTACCATTGTTTTTAAATTGATTTATATAAATAACTGGCTCTAATAGTGTCTAGATTTATGCAAATTTAGGGATTTTTATTGTTCAATGAAAAATTCTTTGAAATCACATAAATCTAAACACTATTAATAAACCCATAGAATAAATCATCTTTATATTGTTTCTATAAAAAGTAAATAATAATAAATATTAGTATTCATTAGAACAATAGATTATATTAAATTAGTAAAACTTTATTTGCTTATGCTCTTTTCACTCTGCTATAGTCTAAATTCTTAAGATAATTTTATAATAATTAATTATCAAAAAACACAAAATATAGATTAATTTTAAGCAGTACAATAAAAAAAAATAACTTGCTATTCTTTTTTGTTTTAATAAAATCATCTTGATTGTTAAATAAAAGTATTAAATTGATTAATAAAATTATAAAATATATATAAAATTAGTTTAACTATTAAAAAGTTCTTATGTTATCAGATTTTACTATGCTATTTTTCCTAATGATCAACAATAATCAGAATTCAGATGCATAATGAAATATCAAATCTAAGACAATATTAAAGATGCTAACAGATAAGAGCTTAATATAGCCTCCCTTTTTAATAGCCCCAGAACAATGATAAGTTCTAAAATAATCAATATATATTATAGAACTTGTTATCATTCCAGAAAGGAGAGCTATAATGAGCTCTTGTCTATCAGTACCCTAATTTATAAATTAATTTTTTTTTTTTTTTTTTTTTTTTTTTTTTGGTGTTAAGGTGAGGCC